AAGAGGCCAACCCAAGAGCCATGGCCCTTCTGCATGAAGCTGGTGACTCACAGGACTGCCTCCCAACCCACCCACTCCTGGGAAGAAATTAGTAACCCTAAAGGGAAGAAAGTTGCTGCAACTAGAAACTTTTAACCTAAAAACGGCTACCCAGTGCTGGAGGAGCCTCTGAAGCCATACTGATGTTGCACCAGGGGTATCACGTCATGCAGCAGCCCAGCTAATACCAGGGCATGTGCCAATGCCACATACCAGCAGCAGGACTGTGCTGCTGGCCACTGCGCAGACAGCCCAGCCCCATTCATGTACGGCTGGAGTAACTCATCTCCATCTGCCTGACAAGAGGGGCCACATTGTTTTCAAAGCCCTGTCTTTAGCTACATGGGCACAGCCACCCCTGGTCTGGTGCCTACAAAGAGCCATCTCTGGGAGGAAAAGGTTACGCTGCACAAATCTTTGGAGGGAAAAAACTCATCATGGTTTTTGTGGTATTTATCAGATGTCCAGAAAAAGCCTAATTTCTGGAGCAGGTGCTCAGAAGCAGAATGAGTAGATGCAAAACGTTATTAGACTCACAATTCCGCTTTGTGGTCATTGCAGCACAGGGACCAGTATCCCTGCCTCTCCCCAGCCCATCGGTGCCTATGCTCACGCCTCCCAGCCTGCTGGGCTGGGGAGTGCCAAAAACCACATGTGAACAGGACAGAAACTGCTGCCCCAGCCTTTCCACCAGCTCCTGAGCAGGGCATTGCCCTAGGCAGGGTCTTGGGGCTGTTCCACAGCCACATGTGCCTCAGGATGTGTGTGGCTCTGGCTGCCAGCCTGGGCCATTCTGGGCAAGTTTATTAAACCACACGGAGATGAAGGGGGAAAGAAGTGGGAGTAAAGACCCTGCTTTGGTGGTTGGGGTTTTTTTTATGTGCTCTGCAGAAATACTCAGGGATTTTGCAGTGCAGAAGGCTGAGCTATTTTCCAGCCTGAGCAGGGAGTGCTCTCCCCCGCAGGCGTGGGCTGCTCTAGAGGAAAGCCTTGCTCTGCAGCTGCCGGTTTGCAGCAGTGGCCACACTGGAGCTGCACTGCCATGCCCATCCCTTGGAGGGGTCCTCTCTTCAGCACCCTCCTGGCACAGCCCACGCAAAACAGGGTTTGCTCCCAGCTCTTCTTTTTGCAGCTGGCCCTGCTGAGGGGGTCCCAGGCACACACCTGGGGCATGGGCTGGAAGCTTCCCTACCTTTCTCCTTTTTCCTGGATAGGGGCAACCCCACCTTTCTACATGCGCATCCATCTCTTCGCAGACTCTGCCCAGCCCAGCCGCTGCAGGGGTGACATGGGCAGTGAAACCCCCACAGCTCGGGTACCCATGGAGGAAAACTAAGGTCAGGGACTCCCAGCCAGGAGCGAGACAGGCTCCTACCCTCACTCCTGCTAGCCCAGGAGGCAAGGCCATTGTCCCTGAGCAGGTGGCGGCGGCTGGAAGGAGCCTGCCACCCTGCGGGCTCCAGCCAAGCGCCGTGGGTGGGAGGAAGCTTCCCAGAAGACGGAGCGCTAAATAAAGGCAAGGCCTGGAACAACCCAGGCCTGCCAGCTATTTATTCTAGCATGCCTGTACGCTGCAGAGCAGGAGAAAGATATTTTAAAGCTGCTGCAAGGAAGCTTGTCTGCCTGCCTGGGTTTGTTGATCAAAAAATCTAACTATCAACCCTCCCCACCAAGATAACCAGCCCTGCACCACCTTCAGCCAAATATCTGCCTAAACCCACCTCCCCCAAAGCAGCCAGCCCCTTCATCAGCACTACACTGAAGCAGATGCTTGGAAAAAAGGGTTTAGCATATACAGAGTAGTAAAAGCTTGGGAAGCATCCCCATCCTGCACTCAATTTACTTCTGGACAGCCCTAACGAGAAATTTCTAACCAGGTTTTAGCATCCAGGGCTCACCCTTCTCCACTCAAACTCTCATAAGCACTTACCTCTCTGGGCTTACAGGTTTCACCACCTATTTAAAAAAAAAAAACAACACACCCCGACCTCCTATTAAAAAAGCAACCACAGCAATCTTTGTTCTTGAATATGTATTTTTTACTGAAAAAATCATTCATAAATTAACAAATACAAAAATGTACAAACACATGGGTAAATAAATGTAATGACACAAAGGATTGCTTTGCTGAGAAGTGTGTGTGTTTTAAAACACTAGTCTTCAGTGCAAAAACGTCCCCCTGGCACCTCTTAAAAACATAACGGTAAGCTCACAAGCTATGATGATGTAAAGCTACTTTAGAGTTTAAAGCCACTTCTGATGGTGAGCGACACGAAGCACATGGCTGTTGCTCAGACTACCTCCCTTAGAGAAGCAGAGCTTTACAGATAATTAACTGTCAATAAATAGTTTCGCAAATAAAACCCACATGGCTCATTTAAAAAAAAACCAAACAAACAAACAAAAAAACCCAAAACAAAAACCAAACAACCAGAAATCAGCATCAAACAGGACCTGCCCTCCAGCAGGGCTGACCAACGGTGTTGACATGAAAGGGGCAAATGAGTGGCCTTGTTGAATTCCAGCTGCCAGAATATGTACAAGTTCTCCTTAACATGAGAATTTTTACACCATAACAGCACATGCGCTTGACAGTATGTTTTTAACAGTTACATTTACTATACAGTATTTGACATAGCTGATAAGATTAACAGTGCACATTTTCAGATATTCCACATTTTAAAAAGGGAAAAAAAATTCAACATGATTAGAACAAAGGAACTATGAAGAGGGATACTGCTGAGGGGGTGGACCCTTTTGTGCCAACCGTAGAGTGCATTTCTGAGCAGAGGTAACGGCTTTTTGTTCAATACAAGGTGCGATGGGTGTCAGGTACACATCGAAGGCTGAGGATCCCGACTAAGGTAGTTTAACACCTACTCACACACACGTGCATGATTCCTGGGGTAGTGAACTTTAACTGGTTGAAATACATTCCTTGTTTGAAGCACCATTAAACAAAGACAGACTTCTAGCAAGGTCTCAAGATGAAAGTAAAGAGGGGCAGGGCAACGTGGGTTCAGCATCTAAAAAGGGTCCATGTGAATTAGAGATCAAGATTCGGAAGCAAAAGTCTTTATTGCTATATGCGCCATAAAAAGCAAATCCTCACCTCTGCCTATAAATAACCAGGTTGAATCCCCTCGGGAAACGAGTTTAAAGCACATGAAGTTCAAAGACTTTAAACCTAAGTTACAAACTTATCAGCGCTTTTCAAGGGCAGGCTCGCTGTCCTCTCATACTGGCCGATAAGATCTACACAAGAACTCGTGTTTTCTAAACTAATGTTTTCTGGATACAGGTTAAGAATGCCCTGGGCAGTCACACCCACAACAGATGCTTATGGGGATCATACGTCCACGGAACTGAGAAAACAATGTAAACCATGAGAAGTTAAGGAAACCGAAGGCAAACAACGCAATAAAAAGAAAGTTAAAGTACTTCGGAGGTTAAGTACCCACCATTGTTATGTATAAATATAAATTAAAAAGCAACCCCCAATGTATTTACTTTTAAGTCAGAGAGGTCCAATAAAAGTGCCTGTGTCGGTGCTGCATAAGGACTAGATTGAGTGTCAGCGGGGAGGAGAGCCCGGAGCCCAGCCTGCCCCCAGCGGCTGTGGGGAAGGAGGGGACAGCAGACAGTAGAAGGGAAGGGGCATTCCAGTTTGGATGGGGTGTCAGATCAAGCTCTCTGGTTCCCGGTCCTCATGTTTTCATGAGCTTGATTCATGCGTCCTTCATTTCTCTCACTCACCTGTGACAACCTGCCCCACCAGCTGTGCCTGTGCAAGTGCTACCAGGTGCCAACGGTGACAACCAGGTGCACTACACTGCTCTGACAGCACTTCAGCGTGCTGCTAGATGTACACCATAAATACGAACTAAAACCACCCCCCAAACCATACTGTCACATTATAGGGGCTACGGCAGTGCACTGCCAGTCCGGGGTGGGCTCGGTGCGGTGGGGCCAGCTGCCCCGTCCCAAGGGCAGCGCACGGGCAGGAGTGGCCAAGCCTGCAGGCTGTGCTTCCTGCAGCAGCATGAACGCGAGCTCTTGAGCAATCTCCCAAGCTCACACTTGCCATCAGTGGGACAGAGAGCAACAGGCAAGGGATTTTATTCCCTATGGCTTTTGGATTCATTTGCACACCATGTTGCAAAAGTGGGGGAATTTTTTCATAAATATTCCCATTTCCTCACTCTCCCTGGAAAAAGCCACCCCTGTGGTTTCTGGAATGAGTGATGACAGCTGTATTTCTCATCTGCTACACTGGAAAGCTTAGGGCCCTGTCCCACAAATATTTCTGCATATGCACAGCTTAAATCATGCAAGCAGTCTCACTGGCTTAAAAGGGAACACCTTGCACAAGTACAGTGATGCACACACAAGTGTTTACAGAATTCAGGACTAAAATGAGTGACCATATGTAAACTTCTAGCTTGGATTTGAGCCATAGGAGAAAAATAAAAAGGGGCAATTTACACAGCATATTTACACTTACACTTCTTTAAGAAGCGATTCTGTTGTATATACTTCAAGCAGGTCATTTAAAAAACCGCACAGATGTAGAAGAACGGTATCAGAAGTAGTTTGATCTCCCACCAGGGCAGCTGTCAACTAAATCGCTCCCGACGTTCATCGGCGAGAAGCCAGAATCTCTCAGCTGAAACACTTCCTGGAGGAGAAAGCGCATCCGAGGCAAGTCCCCGTGCCGGAGATTGCTGGAGGAGGAATGTGGAGATGAGCAGCAAGTTGAACTGTTGTCCTGAAACCCAGAAAGCAAGTGGTGGAAGAAAGAAAGAGACTGCTGAGCTCGCTGCATGAGTATTGGGCTGGATTGGTACAGCTAGGGCAATTTGTGCGTGCACTTTCAGCCTTATTCTCCAAAATACTGTGATCCTTCATTAGACAAAGTGTTGCTTGTCCTCGATAACCCTTGGAAAAGAAAGTCTAGCATGGTGCTTTCCTGGTGAAGGGCAGAGCAGAGTTATTTTCTCCTCTTAATATTCGGTCACCAGAGCCAGCTCTGGTGTCAGGTTAACAGTGATGTTCTTATACAAGGCGTCATATGTGACGTTTGGAAAGTAGTTCAAGTTATTGAGGCCATCCAGGGCTTGCCTTTCTTTCGACTTCCTCAGCAAGGCATACCTGTGCAACGAGAACCAGAGGCCAGAGTCACTTCCACGTATCCCACAGAGCCCTGCAAAGTCCTCCCAACACTACTAAAACACACTTAAAACAGCATGTCACATTTTCTATATTCTTTATCTGTAAACACCCCAAACTTCAGAAAATTAGTCCATCACTTGATGAAGAGCCAAGTGCTCTCTGTGCCACCAGCAAGCACTCAGCTGTCAAAACAACCTGTAACTCCTGCCCGAAGCCTGCAGATCCCATTCCCAGGACGGGACTGAGCTCAGGGGGTCCTGCTGAGCCCTCACCAGCCAAAACATCCTGGAGAAAAGCAGCTAATGGGTGATGTGGTCCTTTCCATTTTTAAGAAACTGGACCACAAAAAAAAAGCAGAAGTAAATGGTTTTAGTCCAAGGGATGGGGGACGAGGAAGTAAAACTAGAAGAATGATGGTTTGGGGAAGGAAACTGCAGCTGGTGTACAAAAACAGCTTCAACCAAATTTAGGGGCAGCGTGATGAGATACAAGGGCTAAGGGTGGGAGGGGAAAAAAAAATAAAATAAGAAGAAACATCTCGTCAGGAGAGGACATTGACTTTGTGCACCACAGTGCTGGGGACCTGGCACCACCAGGGCAAGTGGGAGCTGGGCTGACACCTGGGGAGAGAAAAAGCACCAGGAGGAAGAGGAAGATGCTGCATGAGAGTGAAGAGAGAACTGCCAAAGCTGGTTTCAAAGAGGTCACAGTATCAGGACATGGGCAGGACACTTAAGTGTCCTGACAAACACTTTCCTTCTCCAGGGTGAGGAGTGTTGACTCCCCCTGCTCAGGTGGGAGAAGCAGCAGGGCTTTCGGTTAGTACTTGCCTGTGGGTAAGCACAGAGCAGAGGGAAGCAGAGATTTCAGGGGCGGGACACAGAGGGTATCTACTGCTAAACCTTGCCTAGGCTGGGGGTCAGGCTCCAGACACGGCACCTGAGGCAGAAGCGCTCAGCGGCGCAGGTATCAGCCTCCCCAGGGCAAAGCACTGCCTTGCCCATCTTCACCACAGACCCCCCCCTCCCACAGCACTGACCCACAGCTCCTGCTGACACTGAACTAGGGCTCCTAACTGAGGCCAGGAGATGACTAGGGTAGTGTTAGGAACAAGAGCTTGATCCCACCACACTGCCAGTCTTCCACACCTCAAAGGTTTGACTAAATATGGCTTTTAAGCCAAAACCAAATTCTTTTTCAAGAATGAAACAAGAGAAGCATCTCCTACTGGCTGCATTCTGTTCAACAGAGAAATGAAATCTAGGGCTAAAGATAACATAACCTCAAATGGAAACTCGTCCAAAAATTAGTCTTGCACTGTCCAGCAGCTCATCGCCTATGACTGTTAATTCCTGTAGTAGTTTGTGAAAAAGGTGTTTCTCTGGTTTTCTGTTGCATAGTTTTCAAAAGACTTAGAATTTCACCAAGGTCCCCAGACAAAAGCAGTCATTCAACCAACCAAGCCTCGTACTCTCCGAAACAACCCTGGCTCCTGGACAAAGGGGTCGGAGCCCTCCTGGAAAGCTCCATGGAGAATTTAGCTTTTTGAGAAAGAGACAGAATGTTCACATAGTGAACATCTGGCTCATTCGATAGAAGGGACAGTTACTGCTCCTGATGGATGTGTGAAGCCTCACAACAAAGCAAACCCTGAATTCAGGGGCTCTGTACACCCACCCCAGTTTGGGTCCAAGAGGCAGGAACAGAAGAATGGAGAGGGATGAGTTGCTCCACCTCAGTGCTGTGGTGGAAGCATGCTGGAGCTGCTGCCATCTCCTCATTTGCACACAGCATCATGGGGTGAAACCAGCGTGAGTGTTACCCTCCGACTCAAAACACCGAACACTGTCCACCAAAGAACAACACTGCAGGGGCCGTTGCTTCTGCAACAGCAACTGCCTTCGTAGTGCAAACCCAGGGTGTTGCTACTGGACTTTGTTAGTGTCCCCAGCTTTAGCAACGACACAGCAGGAGAGCCCCTGCTTTTTGCCTTCTGCAGGCTGAGCAATGCCTCCTTCAACACTTAGACCAGGCTCTCCTAGAAACATAGAAGCTTCTCTTACATCTGGCATTAGCCACCCCTTTAGGAACATCCCCCTGGAGATACAGGACAGGCCCCCAGCCTGCCATGCTGACAAACCCCACTTTTTGGATGGCATCCAAGCAGCTACAGCCACAAAGCAAGGACCCCTCGTTGTAGGGATGCAGGATATAAAACGTAGAGATGGAGGAATCCAGGCAGTTCTCTGCCTCCATCTCCCCACAGTTTCCTTCATGAGTTAAGGCTGTTACTGCCCTCAAACAGCTGCAGGGAGCCTTATACACTGTACAGACTCTTCGTGAAGGGCTTTGGGATTCTTAAAAGAAAAATTTACTTACCTTCCTAGGAACTGCACTTCTCCCCGATGATGGTGGGGAATTGATTTGTATTTCCCTGTGTCTCCTTCTGGTCGAGTCACCGAGTAGCCTGCGTACTGCACTCTGCATTAGAAAGAGGAGGGAAAAAAAAAAAAAAATCAACAAAACAAAAAACCCCGATCGTCATGTTTGCTGTGCCATCAGCGCTTGCCAGGGCTGCACAGTTAGTGTGCTTGGGGCTCCGACTGCAGCTTTGCTTTTCCGCCCAGCAGATAAGCTGTGCAAACCTCCTTGCTCCAGCCTGGGCTCCAGGCAAGTCACACAGCGCTCAGCACCTCAAGGCTTCAGCTCAGCCGAGATCAGTTTGACCTCAGCAGTGTGGGATACTGCACACAGAGCCAATCCTTTCCCAACCAGCACTTCTCTCTTTGCTTCCAATCTACTGCCTGCGCAGGCTGGAGCAGCCCTTGTTCTCACCGAGCCACCACAGCCGTGCTGGCTCTTCCCCAGCCCGGGTGAGGCAGGCACAGCAAGCCCAGTGCCAGCTGCAGAGGTGAGAATGCCTTCCCCACAGCACGTGCAAAGCTTGGCTCACAGAACCACCATCAGAAGCAGAGTTCAGGGACACCGGCTGAGTCGAGCCCATACCTGTTCCAGAGGTCGTCATCTTCACCACCCCAGCCCCAGAAGGCATTAGGGAAACCATTGATCTTCTGAAACTGCTCGACAGTCAGGCCACTCACCCCACCAAAGAACTCGTTGTAAGGGAGCCTAAGAGGGAGAGAAGGGGTTAGGGCATAGCCCGCCAGCACTGCAGCTCTCCCGCCTGCAATGGGGAAAGCCTGAGCTGTGAGGATGCTTTCTTCTATTCCCCTCTCACTTTACACAAAGCCTCAGAAGCAAACCAAGATTCACCTTCCACCTTTCAAAAAAAAAAAAAATCTAACTCCTTAGCTATTATGGCAGTGGGGAGGAAGAACAGTGCTCACAGATACATGTACTTATCCAGCTTGGCTGCAAAGTGCCTCGGCATCTGTCCACACCCATAATAGTTACGGTCATTTTCTGGTATGTGGTCCACATCGTGAAAGATGAGACAGTCCCAGTCCAAGTCTTTCATTGCTTCCCGAAAGCCAACATTGAAGAGCATGGCACGGTTAAAAGGTTGGTTTCCAGCCTAGGAGGAAGAAATATACTTCTCAAGGGGAGCCCCGTGCAGTTCACGCTCCACATGTGCATTCTCAGTCTTGTCTAGAAAACTGCAGAGGGCAACCAGCTCCCACATCAGTGCCGCAAATGGAAGTGACGTATTAGAACAGGCAGACTAATGAGATCAACCAAGACCGAAATATTCAATTTACTGTGCAGGAGGAAAAATAAAGATGCTAAAGTCTTATTACTCAGACACTTGGAAAAAAAAAACAACACAAGTTTGATCAATCTTTTTAAGATAAAGCTAAATACAGAGGGACATTTACTGGGTGGATAAAGCCAGATAGCTTAACCGACAGGTTCACATACGCATCAAATGACAGTCTTAGGTTCTACATTCATTAAAGTCTTCCAGATAGTGCCCAGACAAGAAATGCGTAACTCTGGTCAGGCCATTGCTGTGCCTAGGGGATGCCCCCTAGAACTACTACAGAGATACAGAAAAGTAACACAGCACTACTTGAACTGCAAATACCTGGTTCAACATTGTCTTTTTAAAAATATCTCCTCCAGTACAGGATTTTTACAGAGAACTGAATCTCTACTTTATTTCTTAGATAAAACCAGTCATTTTGGGGGACACCCCGAGCTATGCCACTTTCAGGCAGAATAGGTCAACTTGCACATTGCAACATGAACCCTAAACCTGCCGAAGGTTAAATGATGTGATCTGGCAGGTAATCTCCTTGGGACACAGCGCAGAATTACACTCACAGCTTTGGCAGACACACTTCTAGCACAGCACATCTGTGCCCCAGTGACTGCCGCCCCGACCACCCCAGGGCTCACTCACTTGTTCCACAACGTAAAAGGCGAACTGTAAACGTTGCCGCTGCAGCATGGGAATAAGGTGTCTGAAGAGGACAGGAAGATGCTCGTATCGATTGCGGAATGGGATCAGGATCGCCACCTGACAGGGAGAGGACACGACTCTTACTGCACCGCACCAGTGGCTCCTGCACACACTGAGCCCTGGCTGCACAGTGGGGTTGGTGTTATAGGAGGGGGAGCAGCACTAAATGTGGTGTCTCAGCTCTCCCATGTAGGGCTGAGCAGCCTGAAACCCTTCCAACCCCCACAACATGGATTTCCTGTTCACTTTTTGGGAAATTGCTGCTTTGGGGAAATTCAAGGTAACCTTGAGTGGGAGGGAAACCCACAGCCCACCCCTCACTGCCTCTGCCCAGCGCTGGGGACAGCAGGAGTGGGGCCAGGCTCTGCTACCACGCTGCCCTAAGCCACCTGCCTCTGGGGACAGGAGTCCCCAGCAGTGCCACCTTGCTTCTCTGGGTCACATCCTACCTCAGAGAGGGCGGAGGGGGGGAGTGGGAGGCTCAGCAGCTGGGGAGCAGGCAGGAGAGCTCCCTGACTTAACAGTCCATGTAGAAGCTCAGAGCTGACTCATGCATCACTAAAGCAGCCCTTGAGCTCAGCATTTCTTCCCTAGGCACTGCAGTACCACACTTCAGAAATCCTTGTATTCATTACTCTGAAGCTGCAGCACAGAGACATTCCTATTAACGTCTTCCCACCACCCATCCGGGACCCTCCCATGCTCAGCAGGGACACAGGGCTCCCCAGCTCCCCAATTACCTTCCAGCGAGGCAGGCAGTCACTTGGCTTCCAGTGACCTCCCAGCTTAATGGAAGGGTCTTTCGAGAAGAACTGGTGGATATCTTCCATCGTGATCTCGCTCATATTTACATCAATAGGGCCCTCTGCAGAGACAGCAGGGAGAAGCAGAAGAGAGGCTCAGCAACCACCATGGTCCTGGGCAGCTTGGTGCAGTGTTTTGCTGCATTCCTGTCCTACATCCCCAGCACTGAATGCAGGCAGCCTCTTTTCCCCAAGCACCAACAAAAACGCTTAGGAAATGCTGCTGGCATGACCTGTAACGCCTCCACCTCCTTGGCAGCTGGGCTCTGTTCAGCCTTTCTGGCTGCTGTTGAATGCAGCTCTCCATCAGAGACCCACACCAGCCAAGGCACCCCTCTAGTTCTCCATACAGGTTTCCAAGAGATAAACCCCCACACCTCAGCAGAGAGCGTTTTTCCCCTTTTAGGAAACATTTACCCTCAAAAGTCCAATTTTCCACTGCAATATTCTTTTGGTGAAAGCATTTCTCCTGGCTACAGCTCCCTTGACTCTCACACCAGCCCCTGCTCAGCTGTAACCAGCACAGCTTGGGGCTGGGACCGGCAGCACTGCCGAGGGGCAAGGGAGCCATCCCACCACCACTGGCCCTGGAAAAGGGCTGGCTCAAGCCTTTTCACCGGCTCCCAGTGCACAATCCCTCTTTTGTTTGTGTTTGCCAAGCAATGGGCTCCTGCTCTGGCAGGGAAACATGCCTCCAACGTAGCAGGGATTAATTCATGTGAGTGGGTAAACACTGATTTCCCAGGAGTGGACCAGGCTCCAAACAGTGCTCCCATTCATCCCCAGGTGAAGGGAAAGGTGCAATGCCGGTGAGCCAGGGAATGCCACGATGTGTCCTCCAAAGCCATAGGGAGCAGGAGAGGTGCATGGGGCTGTCTGAATGCTACTTACTCATAGAAGGGAGCCTCTCGGGACAGGTGTGGTTGGGGAAGTAGGTAAAGTCTTCAGGAAGAAACGTTGTGGCTTGCAGAAAGGTGTCGTTGTGGTTCAGATCAAGAGGATAATCTTGGGTATGGAAGAAAAAAAAAGAAAAAGGTTTACACTTGAGCTGCAGGTCTTTGTTATTCCCAGCCACCTCCCTGTGCCACTATGCACAGACTTCAAAGCCACCAATGGCTGAGGAAGTCCCCAACAGCACAGGCATGTCCCTACACAGCATAAGCTCTAGACTTGCAACCCAGCTGGGTGCTCACTCCTATCCTGGGCAGTTGGCTGCAGAAGCCCTGGCTGCCTTAGACAATGCCACACCAAAGAAACCTTCATGTTTTCTGGCCAAGGAAGAATTTTGAGTGTCACTTTTAGATATCAGGAACAGCTCAAAGAAAAGCTGTTTAGCACCTTGTCCCTTAAGGACCATGGCACAGCAAGAGGGGACGTTCTCCTCCAGCAGGTCCTTTCCTAATGGGCTCAGAGAGGAAAGTCCCCAGACAGGTCCCAGTGCCAGCAAGGACTGTCATTGCAGCACCTGCACAGGGAAATCCTGTCTCACATCCTCCTCAAAGGATCAATAGAACCCTATCAGATTACATACAGTCCTTCCTCCAGCCCTTCCTCCAGTTTGCATCGTGCAAGAGCAGAGGAGTCCCTGTGCTCCAGCAGTCTCAGCAGTGCCCAGCACGGCACGTTCCCCTGCATCCTTTTACCTCTTGGGCAAAACCCCTCCAGCCTGTTACACCTGTAGATGTCAATGAGGTTTATATAACCATGAACTTCTGCTTTCTACAGGAAAGTCACCAGCTTTGCATAATGCATATTTAGCCAAGCATGACCTCTATTTTAGGTACTAGAAAAAGTTCCCTGCCTGTAGTAAGGCATCAGCTGCTACAGGAGGATGCTGCATCTTCACTTTCTCCGAGCATCAGATGCTTAGCAAATGGCCTTTTGGTCCCACAGCACCCAGGGCACCAGCACCAACCTTAGCCCCACAGAGGTCCTGGAAAGCAGCCATTTAGGGCTGAGCCACTCAGTCCCATCACAGGCAGCCCCTGGACCTAACAGGACGAGAAGGTCTCAT